GGAAAGACTACCCTTAGACTCAGAACCGACCCTCCTCTTCTCCCCCCCCCCCTCCCCCATGAGACTTAAACCTGGTCTTTTCGAGGCTCACAGGGCCTCCCAGCAAGTCATTAGTATCATGTCCCATACTGCTTCTCTCTTGGAAGGTCACCTTCCAGGTAGCGATCATCTCAGCTAGAAGGTCTCTGAGATTAAGGCCCTTATGTCAGAACTCCCTTATACGGTGCTCTGCAAGGACAAGGTCTAGCTGTGTCCCCATCCAGCCTTCCTACCAAAAGTGGTGTCGCAGTTCCAGGGCATTTTTCTACCTGTCTTCTTTCTAAAACTTCACAAGACTGCTGGGGAACGTTGGATGCTAGGTGGGCCCTCACAATCTATATTGAGAGAACTAAGCCCTTCAGCAAGTCCACACAACTCTTTGTAGAAGTAGTGGAAAGGATGAGAAGGGTACCTGTGTCATCCCAAAGAATCTCCTCCTGGATAACTGCCTGTATCCAAACTTGCTACAAACCAGCAAAGGTTCTGCTTCTGGCCATCGTGCTCACTCATTCCACAACAGCCCAGGCTTTCTAGGCAGCATTCATCACACAAGTACCAATCCAGGACATCTGCAGAGCTGCTACCTGGCAGTTGGTTCGTACCTTTGCTTCCCGCTACGCCATCATCCAACAGGCCTGTGAAGATGTCAGTTTCAGGAGAGCAGAATTGCAGTCAGCATGTCCATGATCTCTGAGCCCACCTCTAGGGGTACTGCTTGTGAATCACCTAGCATGGAATGGACCCGAGCAAGCACTCAAAATAAAAAACAGTTACTAACCTTTCATAACGGTTGTTCTTCGAGATGTGCTGCTCATGTCCATTCCAGAACCGACCCTCCTACCCCTCTGTCGGCATTACCGGCAAGAAGGAACTTGGCAAGGGGGCGTGAGGCTGGTGGTGCTCTTTATACCAGTGCGTAACTGCACAACTCAAGGGCTGCTAGAGCTGGACCAACAGATACACTGGGGGAAAAATCTCTGGAAGAACAACAGTATGAAAGGTCAGTAATTATTTTATCTTGCCTCAGCTTGCAGCTTGGTGCCATAGCTGATACAGCTCTGTAGTAGCATCTTTGCATCCACAAAGCCCAGAACTGCAGTTCTGGTAAGTCCCACTTTTGGGAATAACTGACTAGATGGTGGTAGTGCTGAAAAGAATTTGGGGGTTAGAATGGATCACAAATTGAATACGAGCCAACAATGTGGTATAATTCGAAAGGCTGGTGTCATTCTGGGGTGTATTAACAGGCATGTGTAAGACATGGGAGTTCTGCTCTAGCTGGCCTCTTCTGGAGTACTCTGAGTTCTGGACACCACACTTGAGGAAAAATGTGGACAAATGGGAAAGAACCCGGAGGAGAGCAAAAAAAAATAATAGAAAGTTTAGAAAACCTGCCCCCACTGGAGTGGGTTACCTAGGGAGGTGGTGGAATCTCCATCCTTAGAGGTTATTAAGGCCCAGCTTGACAAAGCCCTGGCTGGGATGATTTAGTTAGAATCATAGAATATCAGGGTTGGAAGGGACCTCAGGAGGTCATCTAGTCCAACCCCCTGCTCAAAGCAGGACCAATCCCCGACTAAATCATCCCAGCCAGGGCTTTGTCAAGCTTGACCTTAAAAACTTCTAGGGAAGGAGATTCCACCACCTCCCTAGGTAACGCATTCCAGTGTTTCACCACTCTCCTAGTGAAAAAGTTTTTCCTAATATCCAACCTAAATCTCCCACACTGCAACTTGAGACCATCACTCCTTGTTCTGTCATCTGCTACCACTGAGAACAGTCTAGAGCCATCCTCTTTGGAACCCCCTTTCAGGTAGTTGAAAGCAGCTCTCAAATCCCTCCTCATTCTTCTCTTCCGCAGACTAAACAATCCCAGTTCCCTCAGCCTCTCCTTATGTGTTCCAGTCCCCTAATCATTTTTGTTGCCCTCCGCTGGACTCTTTCCAATTTTTCCACCCCCTTCTTGTAGTGTGGGGCCCAAAACTGGACACAGTACTCCAGATGAAGCCTCATCAATGTCGAATAGAGGGGAACGATCATGTCCCTTGATCTGCTGGCAATGCCCCTACTTATACATCCCAAAATGCCATTGGCCTTCTTGGCAACAAGGGCACACTGTTGACTCATATCCAGCTTCTCATCCACTGTAACCCCTAGGTCCTTTTCCGCAGAACTGCTGCCTAGCCATTTGGTCCCTAGTCTGTAGCGGTGCATGGTATTCTTCCGTCCTTAGTGCAGGACTCTGCACTTGTCCTTGTTGAACCTCATCAGATTTCTTTTGGCCCAATCCTCCAATTTGTCTAGGTCCTTCTGTATCCTATCCCTACCCTCCAGCGTATCTGCCACTCCTCCCAGTTTAGGGTCATCTGCAAACTTGCTGAGGGTGCAATCCACACCATCCTCCAGATCATTAATGAAAATATTTGAACAAAACCGGCCCCAGGACCGACCCCTGGGGCACTCCACTTGATACTGGCTGCCAACTAGACATGGAGCCATTGATCACTACCCGTTGAGCCCAACAATCTAGCCAGCTTTCTATCCACCTTATAGTCCATTCATCCAGCCCATACTTCTTTAACTTGCTGGCAAGAATACTGTGGGAGACCGTGTCAAAAGCTTTGCTAAAGTCAAGGAACAGTTGGTCCTGCTTTGAGCAGGGGGTTGGACTAAATGGCCTCCTGAGGTCTCTTCCAACCCTAATCTTCTATGATTCTATGACCTATGAGGAAAGGTAAAAAACACTGTGGTTGTTTAGTCTTTAGGAACGGAGAGTGAGGGGGTACCTAGTAAGTCTTCAAATATGTTAAGGGCTGTTATAAAGAGGACTGTGATCAGTTGTTTTCCATGTCCATTGAGGGTAGGATAAAAAGCAATTGGTTTAATATGGAACAAAGGAGGTTTAGGTTTGATATTAAGAAAATGTTTCAATTGATAAGGATAGTTAAGCTCTGGAATAAGCTTCCAAGGGACAATGTGGAATCTCCATCATGGAAGGTTTTTTAAGAACAGGTTGGACAAAGACCTGTCAGGGATGATTTAGGGTTACTTGGTCCTGCTTCAGCAGAGGGGCCTGGGTTAGATGACTTTTTGAGTTCCCTTCTAGACCTGCATTTCTATCGTTCTGAGATTTCCTTCTGTCAGTATGAGTGCATCTTAAAGACCAGGGATTCATCTTGGGATCCCTCAATAAGGCTTGATCTTCATTAACAGGCTAGGATATGTACCTTTCTTTGACACTTTATGGCAGACTTCTGTCCTTTAAGATACTTTCTTTGTTGCCGCAATCTCACAATGATGAGGGCGTGAGCTCCTCTTTAATCATCCCTTCTCCTCACCCTCTGTTTTTTCCAGGAAGTGTTATTAGCTTACTCTTTGTCCCCAAAGTGAACACCCAGTTCCATGTGAGTGAACCCATTGTTCTTCATCTGTATGAACCCGCTACCCTCTTCGGACAATAGGCTGTGTTTTGTTAAGCGTGTTCTCAAGTTTGATCTTAATTCTCAGGAATTTAGGAAGTCAAAACAGCTATCTCTGTTTTGAGGGTTTTAAAGGCTGCAGCTAATGCCAGTGTTGTGCTTTAGGCTGCATTAGTTTGCGCTTTAGGCTGCGTTCTTGCAGTATATGACCAGGTTGGTGGACTTGGCTTGGATTTATCAGGTGCTACTTGGCTAGAAAAGCCTCCTCTTTATGGGCAGTGAGCATTCATTTCCTAGGTATATAAGGTGGCAATGTGGTGGTCATCCTGCTTCTTGATATACTTCCTCATTAACTGGGTCTCTTTGCTTCTCAGGCTGTCTTTTGGCTCCAGGACCCTGCTAGCAACACAGTAGGGTAGGCCCCCTTCACCTCCTGTGACAACTACTTGTTACATACACTGTCTGTCCAGTAATGTACTTTCGTAGGTGGGAGAAGTGAGAGGCATATGACAAAGGAAAATCACTTACTGGTAATCTGCTTGTCATAGTTTCCTCTTCTCCTCCCCCAACCCCTTTACAGGGTGCTTGCCTATTATTTCTCTTTGTGTCTTATAGACTGACTTTGGAAGTTAGACTAGAGGGAGGCTTTCTGGCTGAAACTCATGTAATCAAGATGGGATTTCAGAACTCTTTGACTCCTTTCTTCAAATAGGTGAAACTACAGCACTGTCTGGCCATTAATTCTGTGTTGTAGAATGATCGAAGAGGAGACTGCAACTAACAGAATTATCAGTAAGTGATTTTAGTTTTTTCCCTTTCAACTCGCTTTATTCATGATCTTTTACCGAAGAGAGTTAACAACTTGTCTTTCTATGACCGTTCATCAATAACTGAAATTCTAGGTGTTAGAGGTGCCAAAAGATTAGAGGCAACTTGCAAGAGCAGAAACACAGTTTTTCTTGTGTCCTTTTGCCATCTTTTATTATATCTAAACTTCAACCTGAAAGTTGGTTTTTCTTTAAATAAATAAATAAATCGGCTTGTTTTTGTAAATCAGAAATTACATCCTATCCAGGCTGGAAGATGCTCTGATGACTTGAGATCTAGCGCAAGGTGATATCACACTAGTGAAGGAAGTAAAAGTCTGACTGTTTGAAAGTCTGTTTTTGTTTTTTATCAGCTATTTAACTTCACTGGTTGTCTTTCTAAATAAGGAAGCCTTTGTTAAAGATGTACCCCCAAATCTTCAATTAAGGTAGTAGAGGCCACAGTAACCATGTCCTGAGATGTACCAACATTTCCCAAGTGAAACCAAGGAAGGTCTGACTTGCTATTCCTGATGTCTAAGGTTAAAAAGGGGGTTTAGTTAAAAAGCTAAAAAACCTTGCAGGTGTTCTTTATATATTGTAAAGAAGCAAAAGGATGTAAAAAAAAAAAAAAAATTCCATGTCACTTTTCAAAATTGGTCTTGTCCTTTTCAGGCTTTTTTTACTCCATGATAGCACAGAGTGAATTGAATCCATTACATGTTTTTTGTTATAGATGATTCTTCTCTGTGGAGGAATTCCTTTCCTTTGGAATGTATCTGGACAAATCTCTGGTCGTGCTGGTTTTGAACCAGAATACGAGGTAAGCATTTTTAACTGTTTCTGAAAATGGTGGGTTCCTAAACTGTGTGTATAACAGAATTTATGTTAAAGATCCCATTTACTTTTATTGTACTGTATTGTAGAGAAAGAAAGGATTATATATTTATAGTTAATTTTCTGATATGGTGAACTGGATGGTTCTGAGGAATCATAATCGTATATGAAGCCTTTTGTTACTAGGTCACTAATTCAAATCCAGCCTGGTCTCTGACCATCAAACAGCTTTTTATCACACAAGTCAGTTGAGATGGTTATCAGATTTTTAGTGGCACCCTTTTGCAATCTCAGAATGGACACAAAGAGGGCTCACTCCTAGATGTGGTCTTTCGAGATCAGAGATGTGGGGATGAAGCGTGAGGCTTCCTGGGTGATGTCTGTTTGGTGAATGAATTAGTGTTCTCAGTGCTGAAAGCCCTGACAAGTAAGAAAAATTACTTACAATTAATAATTTTAAAATGGAAAGAAAAGCTTTTTTCCCTTCTCCCTCATTGTATTGCCTTTGCAGATCCCATGTAACCACCACAGAGGAGATAAATTACCTTTCCTTACCCATCCCTCAGTTCTTCTCTTTTCACTGGCCATGGTAGTCATGGATCCCAACCTCCTTTGTGCATGGTCTGTTGCTACACTATGGGCACTATAGTAATACAGTTGTAGGGTAGATGCTTTCTGTTGTTCCATAACTGTAGGCACTCCACCTCCTCGAGTGGTGGTAGCTAGGTTAATGGAAGCATTGTTCTATCAATGTAGTTCTGCCTGCATAGGTAGGTTGGCTTATCTAGGGCACTTGGAGTGTTGTTTGTTTTTTTCCCCACACCCTGAGCACCATAGTTATGTCAACTTAACTTTTAGGGTGTAGACCAGGTCTTAGTTTTTACTGCTAAAATTAAACACCATGTAAAACTTATCTTTTGTTGAATAGTTCTTAGTATAAGAACTGATCCAAACCCATAGAAATAAATGGGAAGACTCCCTTTGACTTCTGTGAGCTCTGTATAAAGCCCATAGTTAAGATTTGTTTTTGTAGCATTTAGGATTTATCAGACAGAACTTGCTGCTTTGGTAGACAGAGAGTGCAGAATAGGAGAAGAGACTTTCCTCTTGCATTGCTGGTTTGAACGTGACCTACTTGAACAGCAACTTCAGCATTTTTGTTAAGAAACATTTTAAGCCACAGTCCCACAATCAAGAAAGAAGGCCATACCTGGTTTAGAGTGGAAGTGAAAGAAGATATTAAAACAGACAAAAAACAAACGGAAGAAAAGGGAAGTTGATAGTAATGAACATAAATCAGAAGCTAGGAATTGGAAAAAATTGATGAGGGAAGCAAAGTGACACAAGGAAAAATCTATTCTGCAGAGTTAAGGACAATAAGAAGTTCGTTAGCATTTGTTTTAATCCTAATATGCTTATAATGATATTGGTCCTTTACTAGATGGAAATGGTAGAATAATCAATAATAATGAAGAAAAGGCAGCAGTGTACACTTAAAAAATTTCTGGTCAGTATTTGGAAAATACCTCACCATATCATGGGTGGTGATGGATACCTCACCATATCATGATGGTGATGACACACACTTTCTAGTCCTATAGTAACTCAGAAGGATGTTTAACAGCAGCTACTGAAGTCAGACATTTTTAAATCATCAGGCCCAGATCACTTAGAATCATAGATTCATAGAATATCAGGGTTGGAAGGAACCTCAGGAGGTCATCTAGTCCAACCCCCTGCTCAAAGCAGGACCGATCCCCAATTAAATCATCCCAGCTAGGGCTTTGTCAAGCCTGACCTTAAAAACTTCTAGGGAAGGAGATTCCACCACCTCCCTAGGTAACACATTCTAGTGTTTCACCACCCTCCTAGTGAAAAAGTTTTTCCTAATATCCAACCTAAATCTCCCCCACTGCAACTTGAGACCATTACTCCTTGTTCTGTCATCTGCTACCACTGAGAACAGTCTAGAGCCATCCTCTTTGGAACCCCCTTTCAGGTAGTTGAAAGCAGCTATCAAATCCCCCCTCATTCTTCTCTTCCACAGACTACACAATCCCAGTTCCCTCAGCCTCTCTTCATAAGTCATGTGTTCCAGACCCCTAATCATTTTTGTTGCCCTCCGCTGGACTCTTTCCAATTTTTCCACCTCCTTCTTGTAGTGTGGGGCCCAAAACTGGACACAGTACTCCAGATGAGGCCTCACCAGTGTCGAATAGAAGGGAACGATCACGTCCCTCGATCTGCTGGCAGTGCCCCTATTTATACATCCCAAAATGCCATTGGCCTGTTGACTCCTATCCAGCTTCTCGTCCACTGTAACCCGTAGGTCCTTTTTTGCAGAACTACTGCGGAGCCATTCAGTCCCCAGTCTGTAGCGGTGCATTGGATTATTTCGTCCTAAGTGCAGGACTCTGCACTTGTCCTTGTTGAACCTCATCAGATTTCTTTTAGCCCAATCCTCCAATTTGTCTAGGTCTCTCTGTATCCTATCCCTACCCTCCAGCATATCTATCTCTGCTCCCAGTTTAGTGTCATCCGCAAACTTGCTGAGGGTGCAATCCACCCCATTCTCCAGATCATTTATGAATATATGGAACAAAACCGGCCACAGGACCGATCCTTGGGGCACTCCACTTGATACTTAAATCTAAGAGTTTTAAAAGAACTAGTAGAAGTGCTCTCTAGACAGTTTTTTTTTTTTTCAATAAGTCTTTGAACACTGCGGAAGTCCCAGAAGACTGGAAGAAAGTGAATGTTGTGCCAGTATTTAAAAAGAGTAAACGGGATGCTACAGGTAATTATTGGCCTGTCAGTCTGCCATTGATCCTGGGCAAGACACATGCAAGGAGTAGGAGGAATTAAACAGGAAGAACTGAAAATATTAGTACTTAATTGTCATCATAGAGACTTGATGGGATAAATATTATAGCGGGAATATTAGTATAGAGTGGTATAGCTTGTTCACGAAGGACAGGCAGGGAATAAAGGGAGGAGGTGTTGCATTGTACATCAAAATATATATGCTTGTTCAAATGTCCAGAAGGAGGGGAGAGCCAGATAGTTAACATCGCTGGGGGGGATAAATGGAGGAAAAAAAGGGGACATCATGGTAGGGGTCCACTATAGACCACCAAATCATGAGGAGGAGATAGATGAGGCATGTCTAGAACAAATATCAGGAATATCCAAAACATAAAACTTAGTAGTAAAGGGAGACTTTAGTATCCAGGCATCTGTTGGAAAAGGAATAAGGCAAAACACAAAATGTCTAATAAGTTCTTAGCATGCATTGGGGACAAGTTTTTTTTTCAGAAGGTGAAGTAACCAGGGGGACAGCTATTTGAGATTTGATTCTGACTAATGAGGAGGAATTGATTGCAAATCTGAAGGTTAAAGGCAATTTGGGTGAAAGTGATCATGATTTTAAGGAAAAGGCATGAGAGCAGCAGAATAAGGACACTAGACTTCTAAAAAGCAAATTTTAATAAACTCAGAATGGGTAGATAAGGACCTATTGAAAGAAAATGTAAGGGGAAAAGGAGTTCAGGATAGCTAGCAGTTTCTCAAGGAGACTGTATTAAAGGCACAGCAGTAAACTATCCTGATGCAAAGGAAAGATAGGAAGACTAGGAAGAGACCATTAACAGCTCTTTAATTACCTGAAAATCAAAAAGGAATCCTACAAAAAGCAGTAACATGAACAAATTGCTAAAGAGAAGTAAAAAGAATAGCACAAGGATGTAGGGACAAAATCAGAAAAACAAAGGCTCAAAATGCATTACAACCATGCAAGGGGCACAAAAGGCAATAAGAAGTTGTTCCATAAATAGATTAGGAGCAAGACAGTGACAAAATAAAGCGTAGGCCCTCTACTTAGTGGGTAAGGAGAGCTTATAATGGGCTACTAGGATGATCCGAGGAATGGAAAATCTATCTTATAAGAGGAGAGTCAAAGAGGTTACCTTGTTTAACCTAACCAAAAGAAGGCTGAGGGGAGATGTGATTGGTCTTCCTAAATACATCATAGGGATAAATACCTGGGAGGGAGAGGAGTAATTTAAACGCTAACATTAACAGAAGAACAAATGGATATAAACTGGCCATCTACAAGTTTACGCTTGAAATTAGACAAAGGTTTCTAACCATCAGAGGAGTGAAGTTCTAGAACGGTTTTCCAGGGGGAGCAGTGGGAGCAAAAAATCTGACTGGCTTCAAGACTCAGCTTGATAAGTTTATGGGGGGGATGGTACGATAAGACTACCTACTATGGCATTCAGCCCATCTGCCACTGCTAGTAGCAAATATCTACAATGACTGATGATGGTACATTAGATAGGGAGGGCTCTGAGTTAGTAAAGAGAATTCTTTCCCATGTGTCTGGCTGGTGGGTCTTGCCCATGTACTCAGGGTCCAATTGATCTCCATATTTGGGGTAGGGAAGGAATTTTCCCCTGGTTCAGATGGTAGAGACCCTGGGGTTTTTCACCTTTCTCCAGAGCATGGGGCATGGGTCACTTGAAGGTTGAACCTAGTGTCAATTGCAGGTTCTCCGTTACTTGAATTCTTTAATTCATGATTTGAGGACTTCAGTAGCTCAGTCAGAGGTTAGGGGTCTATTACAGGAATGGGTGGGTGAGATTCTGTGATCTGCAATGTGCAGAAGGTCAGACTAGATGATCATGATGGTCCCTTCTGACCTTAGAGCAGAGGGGCTGGGGCCATGACCACCCCACTTTTTAACAAAATAAACCACCTTGGTGGGCAAGGACAGGTAGTGCTGGATTCGCTCTGCTCCAGAGAGGCACTGTGTTCTCCTCCTCCTCATCAGCCCCATATCACCTGGGGCTGCTCCGCCTCCTACCTGCATCTCATGGGCGAGCTCCCTGTGTGGCTGGAGCTCAGCCTGGCTCCGCAAGCAGCAGGTGAGTCCCATTGCAGGCAGAGGAAGCCCAGCTCATGCTGAAGATGGGTGGGGATGCCCAC